CAGGTGCGAAACTCTGGCTTTATTCAAAAACTTTACTTGAATTATATATATATATATGTACATATATATATATTTTTTATTTATCTTCTAGAAAACTACATTTTGCATTAGCAGCAGATATGCTGTTAACAGGCTGTAGTTTCTCTGGGAATCAAACCCAGAACTCTGCTCTCTGCTTCCGAGGCAGGGGTGCTAACTGTTACACCAAAGCAGGCTTAACAAATGCATCTCAAACTTCTCTAGATTCTCCATCGGTTGTTGTTCCTCCTTGGAGCCCTGATATCCTGGGACCCCCCTCCCCCCACATGATTGTAGACATTCGGGACTGTTGGTCTGTTCCTTCTCTGGAACTCACTGCCAGATCCTTGTGGTTGATGTGGTGGAAGGGTCTCCAGACCTGCTACTGTTAACTGCATGACTTCACATTGACCTACTTCTCTGCATTTATGTAATACTGAATCTGATGGAAGTGGAGGGGTTTCAGGGGAAGGTTTGGGGGGTGTCATGGCTTGGTTAACCACAGGTATGTTCCAACACACTGAGGGTTTGTTTAGATAATGTTGGGACTGACCATGGAGTTTGTTTTCTTTTGGCTGCTAGTAAATGACTTGTTGTCATTTCTGACTTTCGTCACTGGCTGTGTTAGTGCAAACCATTGCACTTAGCTGGTTTGCGGAATGTGATTTCTGACCACCGTGACAGTGTTGGGCCGCGCCCCCTTTTCTGGGTATGCACCCACCTGTGTCTCTTCTGTAAGATCGCTAGTATGACCTTGTGCAACTGATTACTATTGATTACAAGAATTAGCACCGTTCAGCATAGACACTTTTATTAGTTAGTACTTTGCAACCCAAAGGCCTCTATTATACCGGCTCACTGCTGTCTATGGTTCAAACATGAGTGTGACAAAAGCCCTGTCTGAGCCTTTTAATAGTCTGTTGTAGTTATTCATCCCCACGCCTCCATTTGTGTACTTCAGAGGCACAGAGTAAAACCCATGCCTCCGGCACACTATTGATAATGCTTAGCTATAATTGAGCAATTTGTTCAATCTCCTTCCACCCTTAAAAAACTAAGTTGATGGTCTAAGAAACAGAGAGGGCGGAGGGGTGGAGAGACCAACTACCTGAGAGGTGATAAAATAGCCTTATCCAGCGAGTTTTTGCAAAGCTAATGAAGTCCGTGCGATTACGTTGAAATGCAGTCATTATTTCCAGTCTGCTTTCCGCCCGACTTTGAACTTTACTCTTGCTTTAGGCGCCTACTATCTGTTACCGTCATCATTCACAATGTTCAACCAGAGGTTCAGCTGTGACGCACGAGACTGCATGGGTTTTTTTTTTTTTATCTTTTTGTATTTGCTCACTGACTGTGACTTATATTGCTTGAAACAATTTGTCAACATTCCAACTTGTGCCGTTCAGTCTAGAACCAAACTAGTCAGTATAGAACTGGATCAATTTAAGCCCTGGTATTCAAATGGTGTCACCTTTTGGACAAATATCCGAGGACTGTAATTGTGGTCCTCAGATATTTGAGACCAGAGAAATGTTAATGTACGATTTAGTTAGAGGAGAACTGTTGCCTGGTAGATGTAATATATAAAGTGTATCAGAACTGTTATGTCAGCGGAGTGTCTCTGTCATTGTAAATTGTTATTCAGTGGGGTCAACCTTCTTGTCTGTAGAGGCTACAAGAATGCTGTTTCACCATTATGTCGGAGCGTGGGACTGGTATCCTGGGGGAGGGAGGCTAGGGAGACCTGCAGGAAAGCGATTGTTTTG